TTTTACAGATGTTGTGAATTGGCTCTATATAAATAAAATGAATTGAATTTAATTGAATCAGCCGATAAACTAAGGTTCCTGTTTAAAGGAAAGTACAGTTATTTAAGTCTTTGATAAAATCGGGAGGAAAGTATTTACACATTTATCATTAATCAGAACTTCTGTTTTCTACAGTTCCCATAATCAAGCTGGCTTAATGTAACTCTGATTGGCCCCCATGGCCGGCCAACCACAGACTCCCAAAGATCTGGAACACAACTAGATGACAGATCTACTATTATTGGACAACCCCAGTACTGTGTCTGTGCTGAGGTTGGCCAGCTGGGCATAAATGCGGGACTTGAGGAAACGTGGATAGCTGTCAGTCTCCATCAGGCTGAAGATCTGATCCTGGGCCAGCTGGAAAGATGTGGGGTTAAGATCACATCTAACGCTCTGATTGGTCGAGTCTCTTACAAACGAGTCCACATTGACCTGGAGATGGAAAAGTTGAGTCACATGACCATTTAAAGCACCAATCAGAGGAATGCTGATGGAAAGCACTACCTGTCGCACTGCAGATGAAGAAATAAACTCGTCGTAGATCTTCTTAGCTTGCGCAGCCATCTTACTAAAGGGGTGTGTCTTCTTAAATTTCTCTACTGCTAACCAGAAGTCAAGGTTCTCCTCACTGAACTCTGACCTCAGGAAGTGATGGAACACTGCCACACCATCTGTCCAATGAGAATGTGAGACTATGAGCTGATTGGCACTTGCCCTAATTACTCTTTGGCAAAAAAGAAATAGAAAGTCTTACACTGATTAGCCAGCAGGGCTTCCAGACTCTCTGCCCACCTCTTTACCTCCGTTTCAGATGGTCTGGAAGACAAAGCAAAGTTACCTCCCCAAGGAAGAAGACAAGGTAACAAACAGGAACTGAATCCAAAGAAAGAAAAATAAAACCGAAAATGCAGAGTCCTGCAGAACTGAAGAAAACCAAAATGATTCCAATTATAACCCACCGGTTGTTTCTTAAGGCTTTCTTTAAACTGTTGCCACAAAAACCAGAGTAGTTTTTCCATTTCTGTAGAAATACCAGGCGACTCTGAATATCAGCAGCCCTAAAGAGTTAAGAAAAGTCCAAGACAGAAAACAACCACAGGCATTGAACGAAGGACAGACAACAAAGACCAAGCAAAGATCAAGAACCATTAATGACTTACAAACTCTTGGCTTTTCTCTTCTTCAGCTTGTAGGTCCTGGATGTTCCATCCTTGGAACCAAACAGAGGCACACTGGTTTGAACTAGTTTAAACATATTATTTGGACTGTACTGGTCCCTACGCTGTGAACAAACAAATTGTGGCTCCCTGTAAATCAGGACCTACCTTCATTGTTCCTCTGATGCTCACTGAATCAATCTGACTCTATTTAACGTCTTTGCTTTGAAAGATCTTCAAAAATGTAATCGTTGTGTCATGGGATGCATCAAATCATTGCCTACTGATGATGGTCTGATGGCCCAGTGGTGCCTGCTTCTGCCAGTGTGCCTCAGGGCTACATTGTTGCTCACCACCAGCAGTGTGTGTGTGATAAAGTGCATTGGAGCCTCCTTTGGGGCCATTTACCCTTCATTAGCCAGAAGTAATCAGTGCAGATCTTCCTAGCTCAGTTTGAAGAAGTTTAAGGCGGCTTAGGAGACTGCCAGCCAATTAGAACCACAACAACCTAAAGCTTTTAATGTTGCTGTAATTAAACCTCTGCTTAAGAAACCGTCTCTTGACCCAGATGACTTGGTCAATTATAGACCTATATCCAGAGATGGGAAGTAACAAAGTACAAATACTTCGTTACTGTACT